CCCAGGGAGGGGCTGTGCAGTCATTCTGGAACTGGCTGATTGGGGCTGAGGGCCCCACAACACTCATCTGCCTTTATTCTCTGTTTTGAGTTATCTGCACATAGCTTGTCTCAGCCAGCGCCTTACTCATATCCACTCCTCCCCTTGGCTGCTATTTGAATGCTGCAGACTTGATTAATTTGGTTCTTTCTATTTGTGACATTAAAAACTGCAGCCACACATATCCTCAGAGAGGATTTGGTAAGCGTCATACAGCTTGCTGAAACCTTTCCAGAACTGAGAGTGAAGATGCCCCAAGACCTAAGTTCAGTTTTATTTGCTGCAGAGATTTTTGTGTGTTACATCATGGTCCTGGATAGGGTTTCAGTGTAGAAAGTGGTGTTAACAAGGACTAAGTGTCACAAAAATGCTGTTAAACAAGTTGAAAGTCCTAAAAACGTGCAGAAATCAGAATAATGTAAGTTTACTGCATTGAAAAGACTGTCTGTACTTCACATAGTTCTACCTAATAATGGGAACTCCATTATCTTGCTCTGATGGGAAATGACATTAGCTGTACTTTTTCATGGAAAGCAGCAAAAGGATGTGGCTTTCACAGGGAGACTTCAGGTGGTCCCAGGCTGTGGGCACAACAGTGCATCCTGCATCTTGTCCATGCACCCTGACTGACACTTTTATGTGTGGAATTGCAGCTGAAATTAAAACTCGGGCAACTTTCACACAACCCCGGTGTTCACTGAAAGTGTGAAAAATCTACAGAAATAATGTTTTCCTATTTGTCATCCCTGAGTGACTCAGTGAGTGAATGGGGAGGCAGGAGGGCTGTGAGATGTGGCCTCTGCCAGCAATGATGCAGAAATGCATGGAGGCAGTCAGGGCAGATCCTTCCGGAGAAGAGGAATGAGCAGTTTGACTAAGCTGTGGTGAATATGAGTTTTCGTAGAGGAAAATGGAGGTGAGACTGGGGCAAGTGTGACAGGTGCTGAGCATGGGAGGAACCAGATTGTGGAACTCTACAGGCACAGTTTAGAGAAATATGACTAAGGAGAATGATTTTGGCTACTGGAGAAGTAAGCCAAAGCAGGGCAGGGAAGTGAAGCAGGGATGGAGTCTTCAGCTTTCCTAGGGGATTTGAATTGAGGTAAAGGGCCAATGACCTGAATGAGAAAAACTGGTAAAAGGCACAAAGGGGTTAAAGTTGGATGCTGTCAGCATCAATAATTACTCTTCTAAATTGAATATAACTCTTGAGGACTGCCCCCAACCCTTACCCAACTGCAGAGTTTCTGCAGGGGAGCAGCTCCAGGATGCCACTCTTGTGCAGCCTCCTCTTGGCTGAAACCCAGACACATTCCTGAATAGTTTATCCTCCAAGAAACAGCTCTTTTTCACGTTTACCTCAAATTTTTTAAAGAATGCAGTTGTGCAAATGATCACTTAGGAACTTACGAGAATGTGCTATCGGGGTCAAAAGATTCCATGTTCCTTTAAAAGCCATAGTTCCATTGTTTTCTTGATTAAATTGATAATTAAATTATTGAACTGTTGGTAATCTGTACAAGAGTGCAGGGAGTATTGAGTGCTAATGTTGTGCTGAGAACTTGAAAGGGGAAGATGAGACATTAACTGTCTGAAAATGTCAATTCACAAGTTGAAGGATTATCATGGACAAAAGGCTGTTGAAGAGGAAAATCAGACAGATAATTTTATCTTCTGCTGGCTCAGGATGAGCCAGGAAATAAAAAAAACCATGTGCAGCAGAGATCTTTGAGGGCTGAATGTTGAGGATCCACAGTGGTGACACTGTCAGCAATGGGAAGGCAGGGAAAACTGAAGACGTTTTCTCAGTGGACAGTTTGAAATCAGCAAAGGAAAAATTACTTCTGGGTAGGTATTTCCAATTCATGCTGGGGCATTGGGGCATCATCGTAGTATTTTTACTTGCTAGTAGTATGAAATGGAATGTGAGCAAGAGTATCCATGCACTGTGTTCTCAGTGTAGGTGAGCTGCTATTACATTCAAGAAACCAGGAACAAGATCATATGCAGGGGCACTACCTTTGCTTCCCTATTATCTACATCATGCCAGACTGTGGATTACCTGTGCTTTCAGTCTCCACCCTCCCGTGCAATTTTCCTGCCATTTCTGCTATCTCATTAAGCCAGTATGATACAGAAGTTCATTAACCTTGCATTGTTTTCCCAAGTGGAAATAAAAGCAGTTTTCTTTTTTCACCCATATCTGTCTATCTATATTTAGAGTTCAGATTTAGAACAGAACTGTAACTATTCCTGGAGTGATTATTCTGTTTTGGCAGAAACTAAGGTACTTAATAGTGCCAGTGATTGATTCTAGGAGGCCAGCTGGACAACTTGGCTGGATGCAGACCCTGCTCTTGCAGAATCATCAGGGTTTAAATCATGAGAATCAGTGGATTTACTTGACTTTGGAAATGCCTAGAGAAAAAAAAACGTTATCTGAGGAGCTATTTAGACCACATTCGACTGCACGCAGCTAGATTAGCTATCAGAATCAGGTGTCCAATCCCTCACTGAATTTTTAGGGAACAGCAAGGCTCTATTTCTAGGGCCTACATTAAAGAAATAAGGATACATAATCTGAAAATCCAGGCAACTAAATGCAGTGCCAGAGATGCCACCACAAGAATAGTCCAGTTATGCTGAATCCCCTTCTATTACCACACAAATACAGCATTGTTGCTATACACCTAAACTCTGCATTAAACCAAAGGCTTTAAAAATCACGTTTTGATCTCTTGTGTTATAGAAAATCTGGGATAACTCTGCTTAAATCAGTGGAGTGGAATGGAATTGAACAGATTTATATCCTGGCAAAATTTATTCCTAAATGAAAGTGGAAGTCATCTATCCACATGGGAGTTGGTAGTAGTATGCCAGACAGCTATATTTATAGAAACAGAGATGGCAATTGAAGCGGGAAAATACTCTTTATCTTCTGATGCAAAGGAACTTTAAAAATGGTTACAGGACTATTAGTGTGTTTTATACCTAACTCTCTCTTACTTGGAAAGTTCAGGGCTTTTTAATGTCTAGTAGCCTCTGTCTTTATAGAGTAGAATTTCCTTAGGGTGTGAATTGTCTCTGAATGTACATGTACAGCCCTGGGCAGACAGAGACCAAAGCATTAATTCAAACTTCTGAGCATTATCATAATTCAAATAATAAACAGTTTGAAACAGAGTGTCACTTTTAAACTGCTTTAGTGCAGATGGTCTTTTTCTTAATTCCCAGCCCCGTCATTAGTGAGCTGAGCTTATTGAACTGCTTGCCAATTCTGTTAAGGGCAGATGGAGTGAAATGGGATAAAGGCAATATTTCAGTGCAGCTCCCATGCATTGGCTCCCTCTCCCAGATGCCATTATCGACATGTATTTTACAACTCCACAGCTCTTGCCATCAGCAGTTAGAATTATAAAGAGGTTGAGCATACTTGGCTTGAATGTCGATAATCAATAAGGATGCTCATCTGGCTTAATAAGGATAAATTGTTGCCCTTGAAACAACATACCATTCTAGCAAAGTGAACTAAGGTGACTTCCTTGGCTTTTATACTAAGCCTCTGTGTCTGTGAGAATATGTGTGTCTGCACACACTTTTGTCATGCATTTTTCTGACTGTTCCATAGCACTATGGATTCCTCTTGTGTGTGTGTTATAGTAATGTATTAAATTAATTATTTTGAGTGCTCCCCTTTAAAAACTCATTCCTTAAACTTCAGGCTGGCTCTTTTTTTTTAAAGACCTTCATTACAAACTCTGTCTTTCTAAAAAGCTCCCAGTTTTCCATTCTAAATCCTGCCAGCTGAGCACCACAGGTAAGTTTTCAGAAGTGCCTGCTTTACATGGACCATCGTTGCCTCTAAAGCCTGTGATTAAATTCTGCCCAGCTTTCATGAGGGCAGATAGGCCTCAGTTCAACAGAATTGAGTTAATTCTGAGTGCTTAAGAAATGCTGATCCTACTCCTATGGGAAGCAGCTGTTATTTTTATAGAAAGCATGAGTGTTCTGATCATACAAAAATTTGTAATACGTAAGCACAGGTAACACCATGATCAGTGGTTCCCTGGAGACTTCATTTTTTATAACAGACCAGAAGTCATCCTCTGGCATCCTCAGACTAGGTGGTATGTGCAATGCCTACATTCCTTCTGCATAAATAGGAATGGCTGCTTAGAACTTTCCTCATGGGACTTGTCCTGGGTATTTTCTGAGAAACTGTTCTTGTCACCAGGCCAGGCTAAGTCAGCGACCCTATAGTAATGTAGTGGTATGGATGCCTGGTCATTCTGTACCTATACCCTGGCACTTTTTTCTTCGTTAGTACAAATATAACGTATTTGTGCAGAATTTTTACTGGCCTTCCCAAAAGTTCTATGACCTGAGATCAATTTGTATTGAAGGATGTCCTTCATCTCAATTTCTTCTCAAAGTTGTCAGGAGTTCTGTACACTATCTAGTAGGCTCCAGTGAATACAAGTTTGAGAAGGTGTGGAGTGTGCAGGAAGTACCCAAAATTCCTGAGGCTTGCTCATAAAATGTTGGGGTGGAAAGCATTCCTTTACACTTCACCAGATGTGTAGAAGCCTTCTGTCTGTGAAGTCTATAATGTCAGTAAATTTTAAATGCTAATAGCAGGACATGACAAACTCCATGTCAGTCACACTAAAAATGGGAGCTTCTGTGATCCACAGTATTCATTAAAGCTCTCTTTTTCCCCTGCATCCCAGCAAGTAGTATAAAAGAAGGACAAATATTTGCTGTGTCTTGCCAGTGAATGCAAGAATGACCCTTTTTCTTGTCCAGGATCTGGGTCTGTGTCAGTTCATCTCAAACGAGTAGCCATACTGTGGAAGTGCAGTGTCCCAAAGACACATTGCTGTGTAGTGCTTTCTGTAGGCTGGAACTGGACACCCATGTTTTAATGTTTTAACCTTCCATTTCTTTCCCTTTCCCGACAGATTTTTATTGGTGAGATATCCATGTATTTCATAAAGTCAACCCGAGAAACCCTAATTATTCAAGAGAAAACTATTTTGACTGGAGAGTGCTGTTACCTGAACCCACTGCTTCGAAGAATAATACGTTTTATAGGTAAGCATGCTGAGCACTGCAAGCTTAGTCCCTGTTTGCACCAAACCAGAACAAAACGCCCTAATAAAGTCACCACAAAATTAATTAAGCTGTGAAATCTTTGCAGGCGTCTTCCACCTTAGAGGGATAGTCCCCTCGGGATTTGCAAGGTAATGTTCAAAATGTGCCATATCATGCTGTCTGGAGCTGGTTTATATCCTATTCTGCTGAGCTTAATGCTTTTTTTAGACCCTTGAAGAAAGGTTAGACCAATCAAATCCTTATAATAATTCCATCATTGCTAGTCTGTGTAAGCTACCCATTTTACTTTACAAAATGGCCCTCACCAGCTCATCTATTTGGTTTTTTTTCAGCTCTAATTTTAACATCCATAGCTCTGCCACTTAATGTTCAGCTGAGCACAGTGTAAAAAGCCCAGAGCTCACATCAAAATAATGCTATTATTTTCATTGTATTTGCTTTGTGTTAGAGCTTTCATTGAGTTAATTGCTGAGAAATGAAGTTCTTTCACTGAACCATTCATAGGTTGCTTCATATGGTGCTTACAAACTGCTGTACCTTCTTCACACTGTTCATTAGCAGTCCCAAGTTCATGCATGGGATGGGATGTCTCTCTGCTGGCATGGGCTCCCCACTGGCCACGAGAGGCTTTGCCTACAGACCATCACAGCACTGCCCTCTCTGTACACTCTCAGAGGTGAAGCATCCTTACACTCTGCAGCTCACTGAGAGCCAAGTCTGAATTCATGGTTGGACTTAAAAGAAGCAATGGGGGAAAAAACCTGAAAATATCTGGATTGCTTCTTCTTTATCACTGCTGAATTTTTGAGCTTTATCTGGAAGGAAAATGTCTGCTGTGACTCTGGCAAATGTTGTATTGCTTCCATGGAGCACAGTCCTGGTGGCAGGCAAGGATACTTCCTCAGAGCATGGAGTTGAAAATCTTACCCTGTGTTAGGGCTTTTGTCATCAGTAGACATATGCTGCAAAGGAGAAGGAACCATGGTTTTCTTTGTCACTCTCCTCCCTCTGTGCCTCCTGCTTTATGCGTGGAAGTTAGGGAGTGAAATGTCCCTTGTTCCACCATGGGGGTGGAAGCAAACCACCTGTGGTTTGTTACTCAGGCCTGGACTGTGTGCTGCTGATGGGGACAAAAAGACACAGGAATGAAGTTAGAAGTAAAATATCTCTGAACTTCACTAACCTCCAGGATATATTGATGGACAGTAATCTGCCATTAAGAGAGAAGCAGGGTACCAGAGTCCATCGTTCCAGCACATTTGGCATGTTGCAAAATCCCAATCAAACACTCTTGCCTGCGGGGTCAGCACCAAAAGTCCTTAGATGATGGAGACTAACCGCTCACTCAGTACATTTTCTTATAATTAGCTTTATTCTTAACCATTCTTGCTATTGTCTCTCCTCTGGTGGAAGAGAAGGAAGTAGCAATGATACAGTGCACTCTCGGGGAATTGTAGGATCTGAACTGTGCTAGGGAAATCAAAATTGGCCTTGCAGCTATGCTTATTTTCATGAGAAAAAATGAAGTTATATTATTAGAAATGGCTGAAAGTCTTTGTCCTGTGTTAAGCTACACTGACTGTTTGCTTGTTTTCTTCTGAAACATTCTCCCTGCCTCTGCAATGAAATAAGAGAAGTAGAATTTGTTGAAAAGTGGATTAAGTACTTTATGAAAGAACTGCGAATAACCTCAAATATTTTTCATTTTGGATTTGTGTTTTTCCTGCATTTTGAAAATGATGGGGGCTGAGCAGCTATACCCTGTGCTGGGTGATGCAGAGAAGCTGGCTCTATAACAGGTGCTTACTCCTAAAAGAGGCTTCCTGGGTCCTTGGCTGTGCAGAGACAACCAGGTTGCTTATACGTGGATTTCACTCTGTATCTTCTTTTGCTGAACTTCAGGGCTGTAAGTTACAGAGCTGATTAAGGAGGTGATGTTCCAGGATACCCTGGAAAGCAGTCTGGCTTGTTGCAAAAGATGCTTGCTGCCAGTTTAGTCTTGGTGCAAACTCATTGGAATATCCACACCTGATGATTTAGACGTTTGAGCAAGTTTCAGTGAGGGCTTGCAAAAAGTAGTAATTGAACTCCCTGGGATATTGCCTTATAAGGCATTACAGTCGATATTACTCAAAAGCATGAGAAAAGTCCTTCAGTGTGTCTAGGTACTCATGTGGCAGGAAAAAGGAACACTACCTTCCAACCCTGCAAGCCACATTGTGAAGAGCTTTTGAGAGCTGATGTTTCCAAATTTTAGAAAGGCAAAGAGGCTTTTTCTCCCTCCCCAACTCTGTAACTGAAGTTGCTGGGAAGTGATGGGGAGTTAAGAATAGTAGCCTAAATCTGCTTTCCACAAAGCAAGCAGAAAGTTACAGATACTTTACTGAACAGTCCTGTAGATTTCTAAGGAAAGAAAAGCAAAAAGGGAAATTCCAAACTGTCTTTTGATCATGTGAAAAACAAGGGCTCCTGTCATACTATCACCATACGATCTTTGGGATTTGGTTGCTAGACTTGAGCTTTTCTCCTCTTGCAGTTTCTTCATGTAATCAGAATTAATTTTTACACTTTGATAGGGGAACAAAACCGAAACCCTGCAACTCGTGTGGAATGCTGACAAAGCCCCATGTTTCTTTTCTGTGTTTTTTTGCCTATCTTGCTTGCGGTTGTTCTCTGTTTATTCTCTCCTTGTTTTCCTCAGGGCCTCAGGAGCTGTCTGTTTCTAAGAGCTTCCCCTCCTGAGTTTACTGGGGACCTTGAAAGTTGAGTTTTATATTAAATCCCTCCCTGGTTCCTTGTCCACATGAAGCAGAATAACAATTTCCTCTTGCTTCTTGGCTGAGGCATGAATTCTGCATGTTGGTAGACATTTGCTTTTGGGGCACAGGGCTGCCTCTCACCTTGCTGCAGTATATGTCTAGTCCTGTATTACAGCCTGGATTGGTGAAACCTGCTATGTTCCCGATATTTAGAAAATCAGATTCTTTATCAGTGAAAAAAATCTGGCTCAGCTTGGAAACATCCGACTTTGATATATGTTGCAATTTGTTCCATCATCCTCTTTTTCTTTTATTGTTGCTTTCACAGACTTTTTTAAAATATTTTCAGGTCAAGCGAGTGGTGTGCAATTGCTATGCAGCAGTTTTTCACAAGATATTGGCACTGCTTTTCTTTAATCACATCATCTCACCTCCCTCCACTCCCCACCCCTCCCAGCTGTTTTATCATCAATTTCTGCTGCCACAACTTACTGTATACATGCTGAACCTTTGAGAAACCAGAGGGTAAGAGTGGCTGTTTCATGGGCCTCTGTCTCTTCTCTCTGTCTCCTAACTTAAGCACGCACAGCCTGATGTATTTTTATTCGTCTTGTGGTAATTTCCCATTCCATCATTCCATCTTGCATTTGCTTCCATGTTCTGCCTCATCATTGGTGTTGCAAATAGAAGTTATAAAATATTTTAGCATTATTTAGTGAATAGTTTCAGTCAAGGCTTTAGTCTGTTTCTGTACAGCTGCTATCATACCCTCAGGATCATGGATTCAGACCTCCCTGACTCCATTTGTCAGGGTGACTATAGTATGTATTGTGTTGCACTTCATTATTTTAGGTTTCTAATCCATGTGATTAAGTTGTCTACCTGCAAAGCCTTGATAACATGCAAGTAGCCTCTCTCTAGTTCAGATATATAGAAATTCAACAAGCTTCATCATTTTGTTACCAGTGGCTTTTACTTTGGTTGCATATAATTTGCAGATCAGCTTTGCTGACAACTTAATCTAAAGCATGGTGACACCTCACAGTGGCCAGCTAAATAATGAAACGAGGGCTTTATTTCAGCAAATTAAGGCTGTAGTTCATCAAATAAAGGTTTATGAGATTTATACACACATTGAGTTTATTGAAATAGGAGAGATACACCCCAGAGCTCTGATGTCAATTCCCTGAGCAGCTGCAGGACATAGCTTGCATGACCTTATCCTTCTGTGTGCCTTGAATCTGAAGTTCACTATGAAACACTGCATGTTCTGTTATTAACTGGCTGCCTTTCTGCAGGGCTCAAGCTGCATTTGTCTGTGTTGCCCCATACCTAACCTGCTGCAGCAGCTTGAACTATTGTAGGTCTCCTTTCATATCACTGAGGAACCTCCACAGTGAGAAGCAGTCACTGTGCTGGGGACAAATCAACCCTTACTGTTCCCTTTTATGCCAGGCTCTGAGCTGACAGTTGTCTAGATGAAAACTGGTAGCTGTGAAAGCAGTGAGGAAGGAAGATACCCTGTGAATCTGTGGAGAGGAGTTGAGGCTCTAGAGTACTTTTGCACTGGGAACTGAATTTTTCTGGCATGTTCAGACCATGTGTCTTCCTTCTAACATCTGGAGGGAACACTGTCCAGGCAGGACACTCACAGGTGAAGCAGGTAGACCCAAGAGGCAGTAGATGCCTGGAGCAGTGAGTTTTGTGAGGTCTTCACTGGAGATCAAAGCCAATCCTGTGATCAGGCTATAAGTGCTCAGAAGCTTGCTGTTGAACCTATTCCTGATGCCATGGCAACAAGACAATAAATTTTCCTGCAACCCCCATCTCTCCAGTGGTAAAATGGATTAATGATAAAGGTCTCATTTTACAACACCCTCTGAGATATAATGATGAAGGATGGTCTACAGAGTTGGACTCACAGGAGTATAAATGTATGGCTTTTCTGGATGCACAGGACTGTTAGAGCAAAACGTTCAGAGATGGGCTGTGGATCAGCATTCCCATAGAGCCCTGAGTCCTTCCAGGGACACTCTCCACTGAACTGTTAGTCTTCTTTAAAAATCATAGGGATGGAAAAGAGGTTAAGGTAGTATGAGTGTGCATGTGTAATATGAACATGTTCTGAGCAAATTGTGTTGGGAGTCACAAATTAAAAAAAAATAAATGTCCTTGGTAGAAGACATGATGATATGTTACTGAAGAGCCAGGCTTCTGTGGTCTCATGAGCCCTTCAATGCATTGTTTCTTTTGTTACTTTACTTCAGTGTTTCATGGTTTTTCTCTAATGAAGCCTTCTGATTCTCATTTCCAACCATTGGCTTCTTACTTGTCTCTTCCTGATGCCTTTTCAGCTGCTCTTCTACAACTCCCAGGGAGTTTTTGTTGGGTTTGTTGTTGTTGTTGTTGTGGTAGTGGGTTTTTCTCCCAGATCAGTGGCATTTTAAATGCCTCTTACAGCAATAGTTTCCATTGAGTCAACAAGCAGTTGCAGTGACAGATCTTAAATAGATTTAGGGTGGAAGAAGAGAGCTTAAGCATGGGTTGCATGGAGGAGACAGGGTTGTACTGAGGTTACAGTGAGTGAGAAGAGTTGGATTCTAGCTGGGTTCTTCAGGGCTAATGCCTCTGTTAAGACAACCAACAGACAAAGCTAGAGGTGGCAATACTGATGAACAGCCACGCAAGGAGCTTGATAGGAGATAGACCGTGAGAGTAGAATGTGGGTGAGAGCCCGGAAATTATGGGTTCATGGAGGACTATTTGACAGTCTTTTAGGGGGATATGTAAGTGGAGAAATTAAAACTGAAGTATTCAAAACTGAAGCTGCCAAAGATTTAGATTCTTCTGCCAAGGCAAGTGTTAGTTCAGATGAGATGGAGCTAGAAAGTCAAGCTTCACATTGTCTGTCTTCAGCATTTTTCAACATAGACTTTTCTTGTTTATTCTTTTTTTTGGTTTGCACATTTAGTTTGTCTGAGGTCCTTCTCACTGGAGGCAAAAATATGTGCAAATCTGATTTGCACTCCCTTCTTTTTTGACTCCGGAGCAGCTAAAGAGAGCAGTTTACCCTCTTTTCTCTGGTTTAATTTAGTATCTCTCCCAGTTACATTCTGCTTGCTGTTTTTCCTTCCAGTCTCCTCTTTCTGGCTGCTCCTGAGACACACAAATACAGCTGAGAGTCAGGACAGTGACAGAAAGGCAGGAAACATTTCCAGACATAGCTTCTGCTCCTTCTTTAAGGCCTCTTTTCGCAGCCAGACCACATGACATGTGGAAAATGGCTTTATGTAAATGCAGTTAACCTCTGTCCATCCATTCTACTAGTAACCAGCGGTAGATTTGCTTCCCATGTGGCCTGCACATCTTTTCTCAGCACATGCTAAGTTCTGCACTGAAGTTCATTTGCAGGTTTTCTGGCCCAGAGTGAGCACAGTGAGATAAAGCCCTTGCTCCTGAGCAGGATGACACCACTTCCCTTTACACCTAAGTGTCAAAGTCTGGAAGAGGTACATGTCCTCCCATTTTCTCTCTCTGGCATTATATCATGGACTTCAGCTGTATGACCCTGAAGAGCTAGGGCTAGTTGCCATTCCCATGAAGCCTTCCAGCAGCAATTTGTCTGCCTCTAAAAACCTGACAATCATGTCACTGCATTTTTGTGCTGTGGTCAGTTAGCTTAGCTGCTGTAGGTCATTGAACAAATCCATTGAACGGATGGATTCCTGTGGTACAAAAACCATCAGGGGACTGTCCGCCACTGCCCAGGCTCACTGGCATTACAGCCTTTAAATCAATTACAGTCAACCCAAGTTCTAAGTCTCCAGAGATGACATGATGTGTAAT